TTATTATGTGTTGCACCAAAAGCTTCATGATGCGCTCCTTCATCTCATGTCTTTTTGTTGTTCGTCAATTAGTTGATTATTTTCCTCTTGCTAATTCTTAATTTCAAAGTGTTATAGTCAAGTTGGGTCAACAAATTGTTTGTTCTCCAGCTTGAGGGGGACAGTTGGAATGTGTAAATTTTCGTATTTGGTTGGCCAATATAGTAAGTACTTGTAAATGTAGGGTTAGTTTTAAAATTTACATAAATTGAATCATATGTATAAATACCATAAATTCACTGAATTTAATATACAAATCATCAGTTCTCCCTACAACTTGGTGTGCACAATTTTTAGTGTTCTCTTAGTTTATCTCTTGAGAAGTTTCTCAATAAACACTTTTTGTTCTTCTGTTTCACTCAATTTCTTTCATTTTTTCATTATCTTTCATTAGTTTCATCTCAATTTTCACAGAATCTGATACTCCCTGAGGAGTCACTGCAATTGCCGCGAATTTTCTCTTTGCTCTGGATCATCACGCAGAACCTGTACTTGTTGGAACCCTCTCCTCAGTTGGAGTTCTGCATCGACACAACGCTGGTATTCACGGGTGTTGGTTATCTACTCCGTCGTGATCTAAAGTTGCTGAAACTAAATGGCAAAAAAAATTATTCTCAAACCGATAGCTATATTAGTCTTAAGTTTGGGTCTGGTTTTGTTTTTTGAATTTTATTCTCAGATTATTTCAAATAAACAAGTTCAGATTTTCGTTCAATGGGTTCATTTGAGATTTTTTCTGTTTGATTTAATCGGCTATCATGGATGAATGTTTGGCTGCTGTCTAATCATTTCTGTAACATGATGTTTTAGGTCAGCCGGGTTGTTATGCGGAATTGTATAGCTTGTATTTTTCTTTTTGGATTTTAAGATCTCCTATTTCCTGTTTGGACATTACTTCTTTTATATATGTTTTTGGTAGATCATGTTCTAGTTACCTTTGAAATGATTGTTAATTTTGATTAAAATTTTGATAAATAGTGAATAAATCCCTTTTAATCACGGGTTGTCCAGTGATTCTGATGACGGTGAAAATAAATTCTTTTTAATCATGGGTAGTACAGTCTCCCTAGAGGCTAGGATAGGGAGGGTGAAAAATCCTTATTGGGCATTTGTAGTTGGAATGGGGACGTGGGTTAGGGAAGGAGAGTGTGTCCTTGAAAAGATTATTTTAATTTTGATTATGTTCCATTTACCTTTGATTGAACTTTAATCAATGTTGAAAAAAAAGAATTCATTTGAATCAAGGATGGGGGGGAAGAAAAATCCGTGTTGGGCATTTGAGGACAGATCAGGTACACGAGGGTGGTTGGGGAAGGAAGTGTACATTGGAAAAGATTATGTTAATTTTGGCTATGTTCAATTTACCTTTGAAATGGTTGTTAATTTTGATTAAATTTTCATAAATGTTGAAGAGAATTCATTTTCTTGAATCAGTAATTCAATCTCCCTGGGGGCAAGGATGGGGAGGGTGAAAATTCCTTTTTGGCCATTTGGGGTTGGAGAAGGGTATTAGACCTTTGGGAGGATTATATTAGTTTTGACTATGTTCCAATTTACCTTTGAAAAAGCTTGCTAATTTTGATTAGATTTTGATAAATGTTGTAAAAAGTTCTCTTTTTAAGTCACGGGTATTTCAGTGTGCCTGTGAGCAAGGATGGGAAGGGAGAGAAATCCCTCTTGAGCATTTGGAGTCGCACTTGGGATACTGGGTGGTTGGGGAAGGAGAGTGTAGCTTCTACAAATCTGCCCATTATCGTCGGTCTATTTTACACCAGATCCATTAAAATGAAAATTAGCTTGAATTTTTCCAACATCAGTCTTCAGCGTTTGTGTGTGTGTGTTTTTTCTTTCCTTAGTATTAATGTTTGCCAGCCAAAATGCCAGTGATCCTCTATGATTTTTAGAGTTGTTCTTTGCTTACTTTCTCAATGTCTATCATACTTATGTTGCTTTGACTAAGTTGGTGCTAATTAATTGAAATTTAAATGCAATCTTGCATCAGGCTTCACCGTTTGTTGCAGGACTTGCTGTTGCAGCTGCTACTTATGCTAGTAAATATGGCATCCAGGCTTGGCAGGCATTCAAGACAAGACCACCAACAGCCAGAATTCGCAAGTTTTATGAAGGTGGTTTTTGACCAATAATGACAAGAAGAGAAGCGACTCTAATACTTGGAGTCAGGTATGGTTTACTTGTTACCTCCACCCCCCTGCTCCTTGGAAAGCAAGTCATCTCCTTTTCTTCTCCAACCATTAATTATATTACTTTATTGGTAAATTTAATTGGAGCATGTTGTGTTCAAAATAATCGTCTTTAATAACATTTTCAAGGACTCAGGGTTTGCCTTAGCCTTAGTCCAAAGATGTTACTTCTTATGTGATGGGAATATATCTAGTTTGTTGGGGTTGAATGGCTTATGAAGTATTAATCGTGCAATTCAATAGGAAAAAATATGGAACAATGAAAGTCTTTGGGACCATTGGATGTTAAAAGGCACTTTTTGGACCATCGGATGTTAAAGGACACATTTCAAGCAGTTTAAGAGCTGGCTGAGCTTGTTCTTCTGGATCCCATGTTCATATCATATAATCTAACTCCAACATTTTTATGAGAATGGAATCTTTCATTTTACACAGTTTGCATCTCATGTTTTCTATAAATCTTCTCTCTTGTTTTCGAGAAATCTTGGGATTTTTTGTGGTTATGTTAAAAACATTGAGTTGTAAGGTTTAGTTTTCAGGTGTTTTCAAAACAAAATGGCACACTGATTTTATCAAATAATTTTGCTTCCTTCCTTTCCTTCACTATCTTAGAATTGACCTTTCCAAGATTGTCAAGGGGGCTAAAAACATGGATACCATGTACAACAAATTAGTTATTTTGAGCTCCAATTAGTGGTTTGAGGAATTGAGTTTCTGCAACATGATTTTTAGCCATAGAATTTGTCATTTTGGCCATTGTTTTATATTGTTGGAAAGTTTTGGGCTTAAATGTTCAACCCAAGATCTCAAATTGAGTTCTTGGGTTGGGAGGTCACGAAATGTCAAGCATTAAAACGAAGAGTTTTAGTGCAACAACTCCTTCTAAGATGTTTATTGACTGGAGAAGTTTTGGGGAGTTCTTCTCGTCAACCTAAAATAACTTCAAAGTTATTACTTGAGATTGTAACGCTTAAGCTAAGCCTCATGTTTAATATTCCTAGGGGTCATTTGTTAATTTTTGAGAGGTAAAAAAAGAACCACAAGAATGCTAATCATGAAATGGTGCTGAACCACAGGCCCAAGATTTGTTTTGATGGTTTTAGTTTTAATTCCATTTTTTGAGGGGCATAATATTGCAGTGGTACAATCTGTATCATTGCAGCAAAATAATGCTGATGACTGATTTTCAATTCTTTTCCTTAAATGTTCGTCTTTTTTCCTTTAAATTTCTAATCAGGTCTCAGTTTTGATGTCCATGTCAGTAGACATATGAACAAGGGTAATATAATTTTAGGTTAAATTACCATTTTAGTCTCTAAACGACATTATTTATCTACTATCATAAAATGCTCTACTTTATGCTCAGGCATTTTTTTCTAAGTTCTACTTTGTTATTATCAGAGAAAGTACTGCAGCAGAGAAGGTGAAGGAAGCTCATCGGAGGGTGTTGGTAACAAACCATCCAGATGCAAGTGGTAGTCACTACCTTGCTTCAAAAATTAATGAAGCAAAAGATATGCTGCTTGGGAAATCAAAAGTTAGTTGTTCTGCATTTTGATGGGATTAGATTTTGACATCTCTGAAGACTTTCGAGCAAGCTCTATAGAATGGTTCTTTGTTTCCACTTCAGATTGGAGTTTTGTGCGGAAATGTTTGTATACAATTTTGTTTGAGCACTAAATCGACAGTTTGTGTCTGATCGGGTGAAGCTCACTGCAACTTAGTTTTGGTGATACATTGCGGTATTCATTCTACCCTATTGCCACTTTTTAGTTGGGATCTTTGGTGATTTTTCCCCTTCTACAGTTGTAATTGTTTGCTAAGGCCTAAGATTAAATGACAGTTTTCTTCCAGAAGAAAGGTAGTTTATTTGTGTGTTTAAAAATTCATTTACAAATTATGTCTTGTGTTTATTTAATTTCCGTAATGCTTTTAACTATTATATTTTTTTAATTACGTATTTATCTTATTCTGTTTGTTACAGATACAAAACCTTCCGAAAAGATATAACCTCCTTCAGCTTCAGCTATATATATATACACACACATATGTATGTACAGGACTAAGTAACTACCCACTAATATTTTTTTATCAATTCAAGTAGAATGAGAAGATTATAAAATTAGAAGATCCAGACCATACATCCCTTAGGGGGCCCACCACCTCCCCTGAAAATGTAAAATATGCCTTTTACACGCGTCTTTTTTTCTAAAACAGGTAAGTTAAATCTTCGTTTTACCCCAAGCCTGAAAGCCCTCGCGAATTGGAGAGGAACATCGTGTAAAAACCTGAGCCGTCTTGTCATCATATTTTTAAAAGAGTTTT